ATGTTACAGGGCGTGTGGTTTATGTCTCTAATTAAGAAGCTCGTCTTGCTCTTACTTAAGTTTGTCTAGCGTCACCCTTCATTTTGGGGTCTGCCACCCCCCCGTGAGCTGCTGACCCTGGAGCGGGTCCTGGGGGTCCCGCTGGGCTCTGAAGGCAGATGGGGGGGTCCCCGAGAGGTCCCTGACCATTCCTCGCATGACCCGGAGCATGGGGCTGGGAGGTGATGTCTCCGGCAGGCTCCCTGCATCCCTACCCGCGGCATCGCTGGCACGGGGACCTCTTTCCCCAGGGATGCCGCTGCCCGAGCATCTTGGCCGAAGGCCACGGAGGTGGCCGGGGTGGGGGCAGGACCTTGCATTAACCAACCCCCTCCCCTTGGGTTCGGGTCTCCCGTTAGCATCTGGACAGTGTATCCCCCTCCCCCCGGGGATAGCAACACCCCTCGAGTCCAGTTGGAACCGCTCCCCGTGTGTTCTTGGGCTAAAGGGATGGTTTTGTTTGAGCTGAAATGCAAATTTATGTCTTTAAGCATCATTTAATATGGACAACTTGAAATGTTTCATTTAAAGAAAAAAAAAAACCCCATCAAAAACTATTCCAGATTGGGTTTTGTAGTTCCACCCCCTGCCCCGCTTCTCATTTGGAAACGGTTTCTTTCCAAACAAACAGCTTGGTGGAGTTCGCATGAATATGCAAAAAAGCCTTCTGAGCGGCTTAAATGGCATTTCTGCTCCTCTTCCCCCCCAAAAAACTGCTGCATAAAAAAATATGCCCCAGGCCTGTTTGCTCTTCGCTTGTCTCCCTTCCAAGCCGGCCCCAAAGAAGCGTGTGGCTTTTTCCCCAGCCTCCCGGGCTGCTCGGGGCTGCAGGACCGGTGGGCGTTGGGCATCACGAATCCCACCTGCCTTTGCTTTCAGGGGAGCAGCACCAAAGAGTATTTCCTCCAGAGGACTTTGCAGAGCCTGGAACGCTATTTTTATTTGATTGCTTTCAACTACTTTACAGGATAACTCTAAAAAAAAAAAACCCCAAAACCCCAACCCCCCGGACCCCAAAAAACCCCCCTTTTCCCCTTTTTTTTTTTTTTTTTTTTTTTTGCCTTCCCCATGTCGTGGGAGGGAAGGGGTCTCCGCCTCTGAATTTCCCAAGCAAATGCAGGCTTTTTCGGTGGGGTCATGGGTTGCGTTCGGGCAGGGGGGTGCGAGCCCAGGCTGACGGCGCGTCCCCCCTCCCCGGCCCCCCGCCGGCAGTACCCCCTGGGCTTTGCCCTCAGCTTCAGCAGGTGGATGTGTCGGCACCCCGAGCTCTACCGGCTGCAGGCGGAGATGAACTCGTCGGAGCTCACCGTCACTGGGGACCTCGTCACCAAGGGGACGCGGGTGGGGTCTCTAGGTCCATCGTGGGGTCTCCAGGTCCATCGTGGGGTCTCAGGTTCACTTCTGCCTGCATCCTTGGCAAGGATGGGCATGTGGCCAGAGACCCCCTGTGCACACGGATGTGTCCAGCCCCGCCGGCCCCGGGTACTGGGATGCTGGAGCACCCAGTAACATGAGCCTGGAGCACCCCATAACATGGAAGCCTAGCTGCAGCTTCACCTTTCTTGGTGCTCCTGGGTGGCTGTGGCAGGGGGAAGGAGGCCAGAGCTGTTGGTGGCTTGCTGCTGCTTTGGCATGGTATTGCTGCAAGAAGAGCATCTCCCGCCTTTGAAATGCGGCCGTGCGGCTTTGAGCTCCGGCTTGCTGGGCTTGCAAGGGTTTGGAGACTTCTCCTGAGTGGGGATCATGGATGAGAGGTTGTGGTGTGCTGGGAACCCCCCTGCAAACCCGTGGGTAGGGGGGGACACCCCTTGCCCAAGCTTTGCTTTGCTGCAGGTGGCGGATGAGCGCTTCTGCCCCGACGTGCTGAGCACCGCCAAGGAGATGAGCGTGGCCAACTTCCGACGGGTGCCCAAGATGCCCATCTACGGGACGGCGCAGCCCAGCTCCAAGGTGAGGAGCATGCACCCTGCAGCGGGCAGGGTTGCCCGCAACGGGCTCCCAGCCCTCCCATCACCCTTGCTTGCCCCTTCCCCTAGACCCTGGGGAGCGTCCTGCGATACCTGACGGATGCCAAGAGGAAACACGCCCGCATCGTCTGGATCAACCTCCGGGAAGAAGCGGTCCTGGAGGGGAACGAGCAGATCTATACGCTGCGGGAGCCCGGGTACCTGGAGGAGCTGATCCCCGTGCCCGCCGCCTCGCCCCAGCAACTGGAGGTGAGCTCCTGCCCGTCCAGCAAGGGCTGATCTCCCCCTCCCAGGAGCCCTCGTGGGTGACGTCCGCAGGCTTTGGTAGTCCCTCACCCCCTGGAGCTGCTTGTTTTGGGGTTGTTTTTTGGTTTTTTTTTTTTTTCTTTTGGCAATGAGGGGCAATGGTCGTATCGGGTGCTGTGTTTGGCTCACGCCCCCTCCGTGTCTGCTGGAGGCTGGGGACAGCCCAGCTGATGTAAAACCAAGTGGTCGACCCGCTCTTTATCGTACTGCAAAAATCGAGGAGTCCTCCTGACTTGGCTGTCACTGTGTAAGAGTTTGCAAAGGCAGAGCAAAGCGGAGATCCTCCCCCGAAGAATTTATAGCGTGCCTTGAAAGCGAGGGTAAAAGGCACGCGGGGAAAGGACAGCAGATGTTCCCAGCTGGGTTTCTAGAGGAGATAGGCAGCCGAGGAGCTTGGCTGCCGGCAGCAGCGCGGCTGCATGGAGGAGCTACCCAGGGTGGTGAGAGATGGTGCTCCTGAGGCTCCCATCAAGCACGGTGGGGACGGTGGTCCTGGGCAGAAGCGGTGGCCAGGACCCGGTGTGGGGTTTTGCGTTGGCTGCGGGGTATCAGCCAAAAAATAATTAAAATCCTGAAAAAATTAAGAGGAGCGGGTCTTACGGTGAGGGTTTCTCCATCCTCTGGTAGAAACTAGAGGCTACCCTGAAGGGCGACCTGTTGAAGTGCCAGAAGTGGCTGGAGGTGTACCTGGAGGCAGAGAAGCAGATGAAGATGTTCAAGAGCTGCCTGACCACGCAGGAGATATTCAGCCAGCAGAAGAACGCCTGCCAGGGGCTGACCTACCGCCGCATCCCCATCCCCGACTTCTGCGCTCCCAAGGAGCAGGTACCCTGGGGATGGGACGGTGCTGTCCCCTCCTTCCCAAGCCATCCCTGCTGCTGTGGGGTGAATGGCACTTGGGTGCTCGCTGCCACCCAGCTCCAGGACCACGGTGGTGTGCCCAGGCTTAGTGCGGGGCGCTCGCTGGGGCAGGGTCCCCCGGGAGATGCTGCGTGGAGACCCTGGGTGCTTTCGGCCAGCGGGGGTTGGAGGGGAGGCTGCTGGATCCGGCGTGTGCAGCGAGGAGCCGGGGATTTTAGCCTGGAGGTTGCTGGACAAGGGGGATCCCATGGTGGGGAAGGGAGGTGGGCTGCACCCATAAAAACCTCCCGGCTTTGCTCCCGGTAGGACTTTGACCGGCTGCTGGGGGCGATGAAGAGCGCCCTGGCCGAGGACTCGCAGGCAGCCTTTGTGTTCAACTGCTCCAGCGGTCGGGGCAGGACCACCACGGCCATGGTCATCGCTGTCCTCACCCTCTGGCACTTCAACGTGGGTATTGGGGTCTGCAGCTCTCCCTGGGGGTCCGGCTGGAGCGGGGGCTTGCCGGGGAAGCTCAGCAGAGCCCGCAGCAGCCGTGGCACAGTGGGAGGGTTAAAAGGAGCATGGGGAGGGTCAGGGGGGTGGACGCCTGTACGTTGGCCTCTTGCTATCCCTAGCCCCCAGTGAGCTCCGGGAGAAGGGTGGGTGCATCCCTGGTGAGCCTTTACCCCCTTCCCGAGAGCTCCCACCCCAGGACGAAGGGTTAAGGGCAGGAGAGATGTGGCTCCCTCCTTGCAGAGCAGCTGGTTGGGGGTGAAATTTTGGTCTTCTCTGCCCAGGCAGAGGGAAGGTGGAGGATGCCTGGGGTCCTGGTGGGTTGGCTTTGGGGGTCTGCATTTCTGCTCAGCTGTTGGGCAGCGGGGCTGGGGCCGTGCAGCCCCTGACGGCCCGGCCCTCTCTGACCGCCCCAGGGCATCCCCGAGATGAGCGAGGAGGAAATCGTCAGCGTGCCTGACGCCAAGTACACCAAAGGGGAGTTCGAGGTGAGTCCTCGGGTCTAACTCTGTTTTAGGGG